GCAAGGAACATGACAAAGAATGAGGACATTCAGTCTTGGAAGTGACTGACAGGGTAAAGGTTGAGACTGGTGTCTGGCTGTGATTTGGGAGTAAGGGCTGCTTTTCTCATAAAAATTCAGGTTGTATCTGCACCAATAGAGATCACAGGTTTGGGAGAGGAACTGAGGCTTTGGAACTGGTGGTACCTGAGATGAGAAGCAAGGATGACGGAATGAGATTGGGCAAGGACTGTGACTTCAGGGTGGCCAATAGGAGTGTCTGTGGAGTAGATGCTGCTGGATTACAAAGAATTGGGCAGAGGTCTCCATGTGAAGAAAACTGGAAGTGGCTTCATCATTTGGACCTTGGTAGGAGAAGGTCCTCCCTTCTCCTTTCTAGGAGAAGAAAATTGAATTAAGGGTCACTAGGAAAAGCAGTTGAGGAATGAGAGCAAATAGGAAATGAGGGAGAACAGGGAATTAGGGAATGAGGGAGTCGAAAGGGTGAGGCAGTCTGTGGGTGATAAGGATGAGTGAGCCCAGTTGGGGTGACTGAGGTGGTCTGTCCTGTTTGAACGCAGCTGGTGCTGAGTGTAACATATTTGAGGGTGAAATCTTAAATGGATATAGTTTGGGAATTAAAGATAACATTTTGCAAAAAGGAAGATTCCAGTTTGGGGTTGGGTGGCAGGATTGGAGTGGCAGATTTGGGGGTTGTCCCAGAAAAGTGAGTAATTATAGAGAATCTGCCTGCAATGCGGGAGATCTGAGTTCAGTCCTGGTTCGGGAAGATCCCTTGGAGAAGGGAATGGCAACTCAAGTCCAGTATTTTTGCCTGGAGAATTCCATGGACTGAGGATCCTGGTGGGCTACAATCTGTGGAGTTGCAAAGAGTCGGACACGACTGATACGACACAACAACCCGTTAAGTGAAAAGAATGTGGTGCCTGAGATCAGGGTTTATGGGTGTTAGGGATTTGAGGGACTGGCTCTGTCAGTATCTGGTATAGAGCCACAGCTTTGGCAGTGGTTAGGACTGAGTTAACAGATTTGGGGACGAAAGCCGGTGAATAGACTTGGGAACAAATAATTAAAACTTTGAGAGTGAAGAACATTCCTGGTGGTTCAGTGGTTAAGAATCCCCCTGCAGGGGACACAGGTTCCATCCCTGGTCGGGGAAGATCCCACACGCCTTGGGGCAGCTAACAGGAGATAGATAGCCACTGCAATGAGAGGCCTGAGCACTGCAACTAGAGAGCAGCCTGCAACCAGAGGAAGCCCGCTTGCAGCAGTGAAGACCCAAAAACTTTGAGAGTGAAGGGAATAGGAGTGAGATAGGATCAGCAGGCCTACGATAACACAGATGGAAGTTAAGAAAATAGACTCCACAGATTTGGGAATATGGGTGAAGGGACTGAGCAGGTTTAAGGGTGAAATCGATGGGGCTGCCCATCAATTTGTGGTGACTGAAGTGGATAAAGCAGTAAAAGGGCAGCGACTCCAACTTGGAGTTGAGGGTATAAAGAAATACGGCCTGTATAAGAGCAAGACCAGAACAAACCTAACCTCAGAACCTCCGCGCTTTTAGCCCCGAAGGAGAAAGGTCTGAGGGGGAGGGCTCACTGCTTAGGTCACCTGGCCCAGCCCTTCCCTCCAACTCCCCTGTGCTAGATTTTTTCTTGTAAGAAGTTCTCCGTCCTGGAGGGAGTTTCTTAAGTCATAATCAGTAATCTGTCATGCGGCTCAGAATCCCATCTGCAGGAGACAACCTCAACTTACAGAAACACTTGACTAAAGTGAAGAAGCAAAAACTTTAAGCCCAGAAGAAGCTGGAAGCATGCATAGTTCCACTGATGAGGCAGCACTTCCCAATCCTGCTGTTTTTACTCTTTTTCACGTCCTAGCGGAGCTCCCCTGGTTCATCTGGGCTGCTCTGAAGGTTCCCTGCCAGGGAGGGGCCCTCTCACACCCCACTGAGGTGCTGGTCTCTTGGACACCTTGCCTCTAAAGGGGAAGCAGAGAATCCTCTCATTAATCGGCAGTATGACAAATGGCCTCACCCCTCAGGAGAAGCCCTCTCCTCCTCACAGAGATTAGGGTGGCTTGGTCCTTCACTTGCCCATGACTTTAGCAGACACCTTAATTATAATTGTCACCTGTACAGCAAGAATTATAACCCTACAGAAATGAGGGGGTCATTCTGTCCCAGGGATGTGGGGTGATCAAGGTTAGATCACTGGTGAGGAATTGTTTGAAGTGACAGTGTGCTCTGCTGGGGAGTGAGAGGGACGGATCTGTGACGTCTGCAGAGTGTGCAGGAGGAAATTTGAGAGGGGTGCAGGAGCCATCTGAAGTCTGGGGCTGAGATCTGGGTGCGATGGGTTTTTATGTTGCCACCTTGGGACTGAGACTGGAGTGATGTTTTTTCCCCTAGAGATGAGAATTAACTGAGATTTTTTTTCTGAGATAAGCATGGGTTTGAAGTACCTGAACGTGGGGTGAGGGGAGAGTCCCTGCACTGGAAATATCTGGAATTGGGAGGTAATAACGTTGGGGGATGGGTGGCTTGGATTGTGGTGAGTGGAATCTGGAACTGGACACTTCTGTGCCTTGAGCGATTGCATGATGCTGATAGTTAACATGAAATTCTGGGTATGTTTTGACGGGGAAAGCGTCATCAGGAACAGCACTGGGCTCTGTGGGAGGAGAGTTTGAGGCCTGGGAAAGATAAGAAGGGAGACCGAATCAGCAGGAGAATCTGACTCTGCCCCTTTGCTTGTTGATTCTGAAGGTGGGCCATGAGCCGATGCCCCCCACCATTGGGACTAACGTGCTGGGGAGGAAGGTCCTCTACCTGCCGAGCTTCTTCACCTACGGTGAGTGTGCTCCCCAGGCAGGAAAGCCCATGCCGAGAGACATGAAAGAACCGTCAAGCAGGGAGCAGGCCCAGCTGGGCCCGGGGAACGTGCTGGGGGCCGCATGGGGTACCCAGCATCAGAACTGGTGTGGGAGTGGGGTCGGGGATGGTGGGGTGTTGGGATGGGAGCTGGTGATCAGCACGGCTGTGGGCCAGTCCCTCTGCCCAGGCTGCCCGCGGTCAGCGGGAGAGCAGACGGGTGCCCGAGAGAGGGCTGTCCGGGACAGCGTTCCTGTCATCTCTGCCACCCCGGGCTGTGCCTGGGAGCGAGGGCGGCGGGGGTTTTCCTTTGTTTCCCTCCTGAGCAGTCTGGCTGTCCTGTTACCAGTTCCTCGGCCTTCCTGCTCCTCCAGCAGGAGGCTTGTTGGGCCTCCTGGCTTCCTTTCCTGCCCTGTTCCCCAGGCAGAAGTGCCCTCTCACTCAAGCACCCCCATCCCCTGGGGTGAGACCCACTCAGATGGGTCTCGGCGTCACCTCTGGCCCTGATGACCTGCTGCAGTTCCGAGCTGCTCCAGCCCTGCCCGCCTTGTCAGCTGCTGCCCATCCAGGTCCTTCATACAAGCTCAGCAGCTCAGCCTGCCTGCGGGTCTCTCCATCAAGAAGCCCACTGCGGTGGGTGGGGCTTGCCCGATGCCCACACTGTTCGTCCCCCGACCCACAGCCGGCCAGGACCATTTCACATCTACCATCCCTGCCCGCCTCCCAGTGCCCACCCTCCCCGAGCTTCTTTAAAGGTGCCTTTGCTCTCACAGCCGGGCTGATCCCCACATGCCCCACCCATCCCTGCTCTTCTTATCTGTGTAGTCAGTCCAGAACAGTCCTCTGAAAAGCTTTCCTTCTGCTAAATAACTTAGGCCCTAGCGCCCCCTGCCCCCCTCCTCACCGTTTTTCCATGTCACACACTCTTGGCTGAACCTGGTCTCCCATTTTTCTTCCAGTTTTGCCACCTTGTTGAGTACAGCATGGGTCAGGTGGAAGATGTCATCTTGGGGGAGGAAGTCTGTTCATATTTGTTTCATTTAAAAATCGTCAGTGTTGGGGAGGAGGACGTCACTGGTTTAGGAAGCCCTCCCCACCCCCATCGCACAATGAAGCCAGTGTACACAGTGAACACTCGCCCTGCGGGAGGCCGGGTGGCGGGCTGCCAGCCCCGCGCCGCCGTCTCTCTGTACACAGCCGTGCCGGGCTCTAGACCTAGAGAGACGGGAACCCAGACCGTCTCTGTTGATGTCCCACAGCCATTCTTGAAAGGACGCAGGGTGGAGGGTCTTGACGGTCATCTTACAGCCCCTTGTGAAGACCAGCCGAGTCCTGAGGTGCCCCCCGCCCCGTTTGTATAAATGTGGTGTCAGTGCAGATGGTGGAAGTAGATGCCTAATGGGAATTTCTGGACACCATACCTGCGCTCGAGTTGGGGATGGGGCCCAGCTGTCTGTCTGTCTAGACACTGTCTGGACAGGATCTCTTCCTCCCCATCACGTTGAAAAGCCTGACAGTCTTCAGCCTTCTTCCAGGAAGGACCTCCTTTCCAGTTTTTTGGGGGACTACAGAGAGACCATGGAGTGATGGAGCCCCTGGCCAGCCAGGGGGCCCATTGGCCACACAGAGGCCTCTCCAGGCGTTTCTGCCTACCTTTCTTTGCCCTGGTTCATAATTCAGCTCTGAGATGGGGAGAGGTAGGCATGCTTCCTCCTTTTCTTCTGGCTCGGAGACTGGGTGGAAATAGAAAGAGGCTAAGTGTCCTCTCTTTCTGGAACTCAACGCTCAGGCTTTATCCCACCAGCTCTCCTTCCGGCTGCCTGGAGCTCCCTTCCCCCAAAACAAACCTTCCTTCTGCCTGTTCCCTCTGCTCTGAGGCGGGGCGTCCTCCTGGTGGCCCAGCCTCCTCTCTCCTCCTGTCTCTTTCCAGCCCTACCCCTGGCTCCAGAAGCCAAACCAGCAGGTGCCAGGTGCCCTGGGGCCGGGAAAGTCGTGGAGCTGCCGGGCAGAATGGCTGCCGGCAGACACCATGAGGGGAGGACAGGCACCTTGCAGGTTCCCGCCACTGTGCGGAGCTGGAGAGCCGAGGTCAGGGCTTCCAGGGAGGGAATGTTGTGCTAGCTTCCAGGCACTCAGGTTTCTAAAAATTAGTCTTGTTGCCTTTTTGAACATTGTCTAAAAGTTGATATTCAATGAAATAAAGCAACAAAACGTTAAGAAAGTATCCTTTTAGAGACCCTCACGAAAACCACTGACTTAGATAAGGTCCAGCTTCCCTGACCACTTAAGTTTTTTCTGTAGAGTAGTTCATTGGTGCCTCTATTTTAGTTTTTTCTTAACTGGTTCCCCACCCTGCCCCACCAACCCCCATAATAAATAAATGCCAGGAGGTGCCCGGTGGGGTCCTGGGTGCAGCACAGTGACAAAGTGGGCATGCCTCTCTCCGTGATGTGCCCAGGGGGCCCTCTCGAGCCTTTCTCCTGGGAGCCCTTCCTTTTCCTTTTCCCTCCCTTAGGTTGCAAACTTCATTGTTCCCTGGGGGCAGTCTTTTTCCTTTTTTTTCCAGAGGAAAACATTTTTCAGCAGCAGCAGAGTTGGTTCCTTGGTTGTAGCACTGAAGCTGCTGAGTTGAAAACCCGTCACTCTATTTGCCAAGGAGATTTTTCACAGCTAAAAAAAAGAAAAACATAAACCTGTTTGTCAAAAAATATATATGTTTTGAAGGTTTTGCAAAAGGAAATGGGCTAGAGAAGACGTTTGGGAGTGGGGCCCAAGTGCTCCCGGGGTTGTGGCCGGTGCTCCCTCCCATGACGGAATCCGGCAAGTACCGAGGGACAAGGCGGCGTCTGGTCTGGGTGTGAAGTGTGACCCAGGAGTGGGTGCGCTGGGACTGGGGTGTGACGCTGCCCCATCTGCTCTCCCGCAGCCAAGTACATCGTGCAGGTGGACGGGAAGATAGGGCTGTTCCGAGGCCTGAGCCCCCGGCTGATGTCCAACGCCCTCTCCACTGTGACCCGGGGCAGCATGAAGAAGGTGAGCCCGGGGCAAAGCTAGGACCAGCTGCCCGGCGCCCCCCGAGCTCCCTGGACCTCCTGCAGGCCACTGTGGGCACCCGTAGTGCTTCTTGGTGCCCGGGTTGGTCGGGGCTCCCCACTGCCCCCTCTAGCACCATAGCCAGACTCCAAGGCTGGGTGGTCTGGTGCTGAGTCCCCTCAGTTGGAAACACTCCTGCCCCCCAGTCCTCCCTGTGACACTCAACGGGGGCTTTCCCCACCTAACTCTAGCCCTGGGGGGGGATTTCCCACGCTGGGCCCCACTAACGGACCTGGCCGGGAAAAGCAGCTGGAGCTGCTTCCTGCCCTCTGCATCCGCTCCCAGTCCCAGCTCAGAGGCGCGCTCATACTTTGCTTCTGATCCACCTCTGCTCTTTGCATCTCAGGTTTTCCCTCCAGACGAGATCGAGCAGGTTTCCAACAAGGATGACATGAAGACTTCTCTGAAGAAGGTGGTGAAGGAGGTGGGTACCCGGAACTGGAGAAGAGCCTGATCATTATCTCTTACTGCCAAGTTGGGCCAGTCGGTGAAGAGTCACAGCTGGGGCCTCCTGCGTGCTCAGTGGGGGCGGAGGACAGGGTTGTGCGCGGTGACACCAGGGCCCACCCGAGGTAGACCGACCCGTGTGGGAGCCTCGGGATCTTGGTTTCTCCCCGTTACGTGCTCATCGCTCCCTGTGAGTGTCAGTTCCAGAGACAGGCCAGACCGAGTCCCCGCCTCTGCTCTCTTACAGACCTCCTACGAGATGATGATGCAGTGTGTGTCGCGCATGCTGGCCCACCCCCTGCATGGTGAGCCGCCCCACTGGAGACCGCATCTCAGCCGTGGGATGAGCCCTCGTGGATGGTAGACAGGGAGCAATAGAGTGACTGGGAAGTAGTGTTACTGGGATCGGCCAGGCGTCCAGTCCAGAGGAGCTGGGGCTCTTCCCAGGCAGAAGAAATGGGACATGATCACAAGAATCCCAGAGGCTGCGTCCCCTCCTGGGCTCGGACACAGGCCCCGTGGTGCAGTGGCCACCGCGCCGGGCATCGCGGCCAGGGAGCTGTGGGCTTTGGCGGTTGTGTCACCTCTGTGTGTGTTTCCTTTCTCCTCAGTCATCTCAATGCGCTGCATGGTCCAGTTTGTGGGACGGGAGGCCAAGTACAGGTGGGTAATGCTTCTCAGGATGGGCAGGAGGGCCCTGTCACTACTCAGAGTCTGCTGGGACTGGCCAGACTGGGATCAGCTCCCGCCCCGTCTCTGCCCTGTTTCTAACAGCTTCAGAGGAGTGGGTTAGTGACTTCTGTAGTCTGAGTCCAGGGCATCTTCTCCTCACTCATCTAGGGCATCCCTGGATGAGCTTGGACACCCTGCAGAGGGGTGGGTGGGATTGGAGTCCATTTGATTAGGGGTCCTACTGGGGTTCCTTCCTGACCCCTGGGTTATGTCCTGACTCTGTCTCCAGCTGCCAGAGGAGCAGGCCTATAGTTGGTTCCCTCCTCTGCTAAGCCACCATCCATCCCGTGGGCTCAGTGCTTGTCCCTCCCGTTGTTTACCTGCCATGCCCGGCACTGAACTGGGTGCTATGGGGTCATCAGTGTGCTGACCCCGCCCTTCTCTGGGGCACTTATGCCCTCCCTCCCCTCTGGGTGCAGGACAGGAGGGGTTCCTGGAGACACAGCGCAGGAGTCACGCGCTTGTCACCCTCTCAGCTTCCCAGTTCCTGGGCTCGGTGGCTTCCTGCAGCTGTCCTTGGGGCCACTGCTCTCCTTTTGAGTTCGCTAATGGGAAATTGGCCCAGTCCCCCAGTGGGCTCAGAACCCAGTGGGCCAAGCCACAGTCCTGCGAAGCAGGGTACTGGGGCCCGGCAGGGCTCTGGCTCCCACCGCCTTTCACCTCGGCCACCCCGTCCCCTCAGCTTTGCAGAGCCTCCCTGCATTGTCCCGGCCCCAGAGGTTGCAGTTGAGCCTCCTTTGCATTTCACACCTAAGACGTCCCAGCCTGCCCTCCGATGGCTCAGTGCTGCAGCACGCGGGGCACACGTTCCCAGCTCCCTGCTGGGGTAGGCCAGGTGTCTTTTCCCAGGCTGGGCGATCTGAGCGGTCAGCTGAAGAGCCTTCTGCTGCTGGGCCCTCTCTTCCTTCCCTGCCCTCTGGGAAGGAGCCTCTCTCCACCCGCCTCCTCTCTCTCTCTGTCAGGCATGCAGGCTCCAGAAGGTTGTTTAGCCAGAGCTGAGCACACGAGCCTGCCGGGAGAAGGGCCCATCACCTTGTAGCAGCCCAGGCCAGAAGGTTCATTCCTACATTCCAGATCCACGCAAGATAGCCATAGAGAACTGGGGTTCTGCCCCCGGTGGGGTGGGTTTCCTAGTCTCAGTGAACTGTGTCGATGCCCCCTCACCCCCAAACAAGGGCTGTGGCCGTCTCCACTTGGGTTCCGCCTGGCGACAGAGGATGTCCCCTCCCCGTCCCGGCCAGGACCGGATGGCTCTGAGCAGGGGCGGGGGCTGTGCTCCCCACCCGGGTACGGGCTTCTCACAGGTGCCCGGTGACCTCGTGTCCCCTGTGTTCTCCACAGCGGCGTGTTGAGCTCCATTGGGAAGATCTTCAAAGAGGAGGGCCTGCTGGGATTCTTTGTGTACGTGAGTTTTATACTCCCTGTAACTGCCATGGAGCAGGGTCTACTAACAGGCGCGTTCTCAACCCTCAGGCCGCGGCTGCTAGCCTCAGATTAACCGCTGCGCCTTGGCTCGGCCCGTAGAGCTCCACAGCATGTGCGCTGCGGACCGGCAGAACCAGAGCTGCCCAGCCCCCTCCACGACAAGGCTCATAAAACGATGGTACTGTCCGTCCAGCACACCGGCCGTGCGGGGAACATCCCCCCACCCCAACCCCACTGCCTCCGTCCGTTTGCTCCAGGGCTGGGGGTGGGCACGAGGCTGGCCTTCAGGAGGTCTTCAGCTCGTCCATCGTCATTGGTTTCACTGCAGAAAAACAGCTGGAAGTCTGTGACTTGGGCTGAAGGTCAAGCCCTGGGCAGCTCGTAAACTGACTCCAGCTGATGAATCCCGTTTGACAAAGTAGTTCTTCATATTCAACATTTGGGCTTCCCAGGTGGTGCTAGTGGTAAAGAACCTGTCACCCGTCTGCCAGTGCAGGAGATGTAAGAGACACAGGTTTGATCCCTGGGTTGGGAAGTTCCCCTGGAGAAGGAAATGGCAACCCACTCCAATATTTTTGCCTGGGAAATCCCATGGACAGAGGAGCCTGGCAGGCTATAGTCCATGGGGTCGCAAAGAATCAGATACAACTGAAGTGACTTAACATTCAGAATGTTTCGCACAGTCCCTGTCTCTGGCTTCTCTTAAAAAGTTAAGACCTAGCTGTGCCGGGCCTGCATTTCTGCAGAGCAGCTGTCGGGATGGCGGGGTACACCATCTCCTGAGGGTCCCAGACCCTCCACCCTACTTGTGTCTCACACCCAACTTGTTCCAACTGTAAAGAAAACTCACACTGTATAAAAAGACTGTAAACCATGAACAGAACCCAAAAGCCAGGCCTTAGAAATATTTTTGTTTTGCTTTTTTTAGGTCTAAACGCTGACATACATGCTGTCATGAGCATAGTGTGCTAGACGTAGGGCTCTGTGTTAACTCATGTTGAGATGTCACAGTCGGCCAGGTGTTCTGCATGTAGGCGTGTGTGCGGGTGTATGTAGTTCTCAGCAGGAGGTGGATTTGCCACAAGGGACATAAGTAATGTCCGGAGACGCCTTCTGGTTGTCACAGCTGGGATCTAGTGGGTAGAGACCAGGGATGTTGCTAAACATCTCGAAATGCAGAGGTCGGCTCCCATGACAAAGAATTTACTCAGCCCTAAAGGTCGACAGTGCCAAGGTTGACAAACTTTGATTTATATACACACACTTATTCAAATGTATGTTCATATCTATGTATATCTATACGTGTGTGTGTGTGTATGTGAATAAATATTTGCTTGCATGACTAGTACTTCAGACCTTAAAACACTGCATATCACCACCTCTGGTATTTTTCACTCTCACTGTATATATACATTCTATTCTGATGTGTGAATAGGACTCCCACACAACAGCTGCTTACCCATTGGATTCTTTTTTTCTGTTGCATATTTGTAGAACATGATGTATGTGCTCAGAAATCCCTGAGTGTATATGTGAAAAGTCAGTCTGAACACAGATGGAACCAACAGGATTGGGAATTGCATTCATGAAGGTTCATTTTATTAATATCCCTCATATCATGTTAATAGGTGTGTTATTTTTTTTTAACTTTTCAGATATCTTGAAATATTTTTAAAAATTCAAAAATCCTAATTCTGCATCCTCTCCCGAAGATACAGCCATTCTCCTGAAGCTCTTTCCACATCACTTCATATCTAAACAAGCAAATGAACACATTTTTAAAAAAAAACAAAAAGACCACAAGGATCACACAGGACCAACTGATACCAGTCTGGCTTTTTACCCTCAGCACTGTATCTTAAGGAAACTTCATATTACTATGTAGAGATGCTTATTCTAAAGGCCATCACTTTAAAAGACAGCCCTCCTCACAGAAGCTTGTATGGAGTGTCTTTGGTGGAATGTTCCAGGGGTGAAGACAGACGCCCTGAGCAAAGTTTTGTGAGAGTTGATTAGGTAAATAGGCAAAAGGAAAAATGCCAAAAGTATAGGTACTTTTTCTTTATCTGCATTTGAAAATCCCAGATTTTGCAACATTCATATCCTAAGGCCCAGCTTCTATAGTTTGAAAACCGCTTCTGAGATCATAGACTTAACTTGTGCCATCATATGTGGCATGTAGCGCACACCCCACCTCCCCACACCCTGCGAAGAAAGGAACACTGCCTTCCTGGTGTGGATAGCCGCTGGCCCACGCGGCCCCTGCAGGCTCCCTTCCTGAGGTGGTGCTGGTAGATAACGCTGAAGTTTAGAGCTTGGAACATCCTTGCCTACTTCCTGGGTGCAGAGCCCCAGGGAATTGCTCCCTTCCCTCTCCTGCTCATCTCTGCTCACCTTGTTTTTTTAGCGGCTTAATCCCTCACCTCCTGGGCGATGTCGTTTTCTTGTGGGGCTGTAACCTGCTGGCCCACTTCATCAATGCCTACCTGGTGGATGACAGCGTGAGTGACACCCCAGGGGGGCTGGGGAACGACCAGAATCCAGGTTCCCAGGTTGGTTGGAACAAGGACTTGTCCATCTTTCCATGTACTGCTGATGCCCAGGGTCTGGGGCAGACTCAAGGACTCTGGGATTCTTGAGCACTGGGCTCGGGGGCTGGAGAGGGTCCCTGGCGGGGAGCGGTCTTAGCAGAAGACCTCTGACGGTCCCTGGGTGAACTTTGTCTCCGAGGAGATGAGATCGCTAAGGAGACCTAGAGGGGCTTACGGGATGCCCATCACTGGGCAACTTTACTGATAACACGGATGCAGACGTTATCCAAGGCTGGTTTGAGACAGTGACCCAGCTAGGGGTCCCTAGTAAGTCAGGAGATAGACCAGCTCATGATAACTTGTCAGCTTTCACTTAGTGTTTGGGGCTTGCTCAGGCCCTTTTGTGAACGTGGGTGTCTGATCCTGACAGCACCCCAGTTGTGAAAGGAGCAGAGTGGGGGTGACACCGTGTTTTACAGACAGATGAGCCCCAGAGATTGAAGGGCTGTCCTGAGGCCCTTGGCCGTGAGTTGACAGGGCTGGGGCTAAGTCTGTCTCCCTGGGCCCAGCCGAGGGTGCTCCAGTCAGCTGGGACATGTGCCACGCAGGCGCACCCCACTCTTGTTAGCAGGAGTCTGCACAGACCCCTCAGCTGGTTGGGTCAGTCATGGGGAGGCCTTGATCCTTCTAAAAGGCACTGGTTAAGAAAGTTGGGGACTTGATAGATTGACTAGTTCTGCCTGAACCAAGATACAAGTTGGGGGGGGGCCGTGATGGGCCAGGGCTCCTGGTAGCCAGACATCCCAACAGCAGGGATCGCCTGCCCCAGGAGGGTTGACGAGGGCCTGGGGACTTGTCTGCCAGAATCGCCTTGTTGGGGGTGGGGGGCTCATCGTCTTGTGTCTGTGTCTGGGCCCCAGAATGGCAGTTGTGGGGTGAGGGTGGTCTGGGAAAGAGTTCATGGTGAAGAGTGCCTCAGAACTCGTAGCTAGGGCAGAGGGAAACGGGCCATTTGAATTGGGTAAGTGGAGTCTTACTGGCCTTTTAATGTAAGCAAATGCAAGTCACAGTAATTACAGTAGCACACCCATGGCCCTACCGTCACACAAAGAACAAGCTTGGGAGAGCTGGGGTGTCGGTGGGCGGTCATCCCACGGCTGACGGCTTCCTCTGGTCCAAGTGGGCAGGTGTTTGACCAGGGGCTGCTGCCCTTAACCTCTGACAGCAGCAGTCAGCACTTGATTGAAAGTATTTTTCAAGTGCTTAAGGCTAAGATGAGGCTGCCGCTCAAGCAGAGGGCCCAGCAGACCTCCGCCCAGGGTTGCGAGGCGTCCATCTGGTGGGGCGGCCCCACCGGAGGCTGAGGGATAGGCCGTTATGCTTCCTGGTTTGGGGCTGTTTTGTGGGCAAAGTTGAATTCAGGAGTTGGGCCTGAAGGAAGTGAGAGTTCGGTGAGGTGGGGGACAGAAAACCCAGAGTTGCCCCTCACCTTTCACTGCGGGACCCAGGGTCCTGTCTGGGTGGTTCAGACGGGCACCTGGCTTTCCGCTCAGTCAGCACTCATGTGTGCCGAGCCCTGGGCACTGGTCAGAGGCCTAGTCCTCAGGACTTAGGCTGCAGGCCAGAAGCCCACCTTCCTGCCCTTCACCGCTCACCACCCCTGGTGGGGTCACGGAGGCCCCTTCAGTCCGGATAACCCAATTCCGCCCCCCAGATGATCGCGGCTCTGACTCCCAGGCTGCAGGAGCTGTGGGCAGGCCCTGAAAGTGGGCGCTGCGTGTGTGGTGGGCGTGTGAGGAGCTGAGTGCTAGTGGGGCGCGAGGCCAGTGTGGACGGCAGGGTGAAGGGGGCCACAGAGCAGGCAGTGAGGATGGGACCTGCACGTCTGAAGTCTGCTTCCTGAGCTCGAGAGGCAAACCCGTCTCCCTTTGTCTCTCTCCAGTTCAGCCAGGCGCTGGCCATCCGGAGCTACACCAAATTTGTGATGGGGGTAAGTTGGGCCCCATGGCCCTTTCCACGGTGCTGGGGCCTGGGTGAGGGCTGGGAGGCCAGCTCCGGTGGTTGGAGGCAGGCCTCAGTGAAGGCTGCTGGCACAGGGTGTCCCTGCCCCCTGAACCCGGGGCCGGGGTGGCAGTGGCTGGGGTCGCTGACCCTCGGGTCTCCCTGCAGATTGCGGTGAGCATGCTGACCTACCCCTTCCTGCTGGTCGGTGATCTCATGGCCGTGAACAACTGCGGGTAGGTGTGTGCCCCTCCCCCAGGCACCCTGCCAGGGCTGCTGGGGGCACCTGGCTGAGCCCCTCCCGTCTGCTCTTGTGTATGGCCTCCGCCCACCTGGCACTCCGGCTTCCTCTGGGATTCTTGTACCCCTTTGGGAGGAATATGTGGGTTGGTATGTGGGTGGTGGCAGCTCTGGCTCCTCTCGCCGTCCTCTGGATCTGACACGCTCTCCTTCCTGGGCAGGCTTCAGGCTGGGCTCCCTCCTTACTCCCCAGTGTTCAAATCCTGGATCCACTGCTGGAAGTACCTGAGTGTGCAGGTAAGCATGCACTCCAGGGAGTTCTCTCCTCATTTTTCCATAACAGTGATCAGATGGAAAGATTTTTGTATACTCTTCATTACATGGAAAGTTAAGGGCTTGTCATGGAATCCATACCTTTTAAAAGTAAATTTTACTCTTTAGAAGGGGTTTGAGGTGCTTAGATCTGAAGTTCCTTAGGAATTAGACATTAGACTAGGTCTTTTCTTCACGTCTTAAAGACTCTTAGGACAAGCATGGGCAAGCCCACAGGGTAGGTGGTGAAGCCCAAGAACTCCTTATAACCTTGAGTGACCTGGGCTGAAGACACACCTGGCCTGTCGGAGGCTGGCCCCTCCTTCCCGCAGGACGCCCCGGGTGCCCAGGGGAGCCTGAGCTTGGCGCTGGGCCACGTGGTGAGCTTGGTGAGAGTGCCAGTGTTGAAGTCTTTGTGTTCTGTGCCGACGCACACTTCTGCTGGCTGGAGCTCTGGGTCAGAGGTCCAGGTGGCTGGCCCAGGGCAGATCCTTGGCTCCCCGGCCCTGGTTGGCCTCAGTAGGATGAGGCAGGGGCCTGGGTAGGAGGAACCAGCACACTGACTGGCCTCTGGCTTGAGAAAAGGATGATGGATGGGAGGGAAACAGGGAGGTGTGAGACAGACGCAGGCCTTCAGTGTCTCTGGTGGTTCCACGTGCATCGTGGCCTGTGTATGGGAGGAGCCCTAGGCCACTTGGCTCTGATGCCAGAGGGCAGTGAGTGTCCCCTAGCAATGTCCTGCTCAGGAGCCCCGTCGGCACTGGACACTCTGTGCTTCAGCGCAGAGCAGATTCTGACATTGCCACCGAGGAGTGCAAACCCAGACTGGCTGCCTCCAACCCTGGGGGCTCACAGCTCCCGGCCCTTTGTTGGTCACACGCTGGCCTGGCTCTGCGTGGGTTGAGGAGCCTGGCCTCCCCTCTCAACTGACCTGACTGCTCTTTCCAATCCAGGGCCAGCTCTTCCGAGGCTCCAGCCTGCTTTTCCGTCGGGTGTCATCAGGATCGTGCTTTGCCCTGGAGTAACCTGAATCACCTAAAAAACAAAACAAACCGTGCTGTCTCAGCCTGGCCACCGCGGGTGAGGCCTGATCATCTCGGGGCACCTGTCAGACAACCACCCAGCATCACCTAGATGTGCTCTAGCACGCTGGGCTTCAGTTTCCATGTTTCCCATGTGTCTCTCCAGAAGCAGGGCCTGGGTGGGGGTGAGGCTGTGTCCAGTGGCCTGGGCATTGTTGGACCCGGGGAAGGTGGGGTGGGGCTGGGGAGTGGGGGCCCGATCCACTTACTCTGCAGATTTCCCCAGTCGGCCTCGTGCAGGGGGCCAGAGACGGGCTTGCGGAGGCCCACGCTGGATGGGCACAGGCTCCTGAGGTCAGGTGGCACTGCCCACTCACACCCCTCACATCAGCCCTAGCCGTCATCCTGCAGCTCAGCTGGGGGCTTCGTGCTCTTGCTCTGTAAATAGGGGGTGATCCCCTTTCAGGAGGCTGCCATCACGTCCAGCTAGGAGGCTGTCTTTGTTTTTCTCAACACTACTTGTCTGATTAAGGCAGCACCTTCTAAATGGGAAATCATGTGTCTGCTCAGAATGTGTTCCCCTCCCCATCAAGTTAAAGGCTTGTCGGTTTAATGGTGACGCCTCATGTGCAGGGTATGGTTATCTGTGCAGTTGTGAACACCCAGATGTTAGGCAGATCAGTGTCTCTAGTCATATCCAGTTTAAAGTTCCTAATAAGATCTGACCCTTTCTCCCGCAAATAAATGCATCGGTGGTGATTTGGAACTTTGTGGAGAGTCTCTTATATTCATGAGCTTAACTGTCTGCAGGGTGTTTCTCAATCCTTTGTGGTTGTATGAGAAGTGAAGTGAAGTGAAAGTCGTGTCCACCTCTTTGCAACCCCATGGACTTTACGGTCCATCGAATTCGCCAGGCCAGAATACTGGAGTGGGTAGCTGTTCCTTTCTCCAGAGGATCTTCCCAATCTAGAGATTGAACCCAGGTCTCCCACATTGCAGGCGGATTCTTTACCAGCTGAGCCACAAGAGAAGCCCTGTTGTATGAGAAGGGGCTGTAAAGTGATAGGGCTGGGGGCAGCCCGGGCTTGGCGTAGATCAGTGGGCGGGGGCAGGGGGAGGGTGGGGGCTCAGGTTGTTGGGCAGTGTTCTGAATTAGACAGGCCAAGATGCCAGTTCACAGAGCAACAGCTAGTGCACAGGCCTCTTCCCTGGGAGACAGGCCCTCGAAAAGTCCTCCCAGCATCAGAAGATGTTCCATGCAAAAGTCCAGCTGTCCTCAGCACCGTTTGCAGATGATATTGTCGGGTTTTACCAAGTTGGTTGGGTAGCAGTCACGTGGGTACAGCAGAAGGGGTAGGTGGCCCAGCTGTGGCACCGAGCTTGGCCTTCTCTAGAAAAGGCAAAGCTCCCTCCGTTTGCTTCTGCCGAACACCAGGGCCTATAAACAGGCAAAACTTACAGATCGAATATGTTGGTCCCTGGAGACTAGGCTTCCAGCTGATGGGGTGGTAGTACCAATTGAGGGCCAGCTGGGTTCTCCAAGTGTTCTCTGCCCTTGCTCTAGGGGAGCGGGCTTTGGGAGTTGGGGATTGGGACTTAGGTCATACTTCCTCAGAGTGTGCTGGGTCCTGCCCAGGAACGGCCCTGGGATGCTTTTGCCCTAGTTTACCTCGCATATCCTTGTTCCCCAGGAACAAGAGAGCGTGCCCATGCAGGTATCCTGTAAATGTACATTGGTGGGGGGTCACTAAGATCTTACACTCAACCTCAGACAACCGAAGTGGCCGGGAGGGGAAGTACACGGCAAGGCGAGTGGGCCAGGGCTCGCTGGCGTGGATTCTGTAGAGAAGGAATACCCTTCAGAGGCGGGTCTGCCACACAGTGCGTGACCTTTCTCTAGCCCAGCATGGTCTCCCCTGGCACTGACCACTGCCCTGGGGTAGCTGTTCTTCCTGTTGCTCCACCCTCAGGTCCTGTTCTTGCAATAATTGCTTCCTGTGGGCCCCCAGATTCAAGTCAGAGCTGAGCTAGTCCTAAGAACCCCTCCCTCTGACAGCCGCCTCCTCCCAGGTGTTTGGAGAAGCCACCGAGGTGAAGAGCCAGCCTGGGTGAGCCTGGCGAGTCACTTTGAGGAGAGGCAGTGCCATTCCCAGGTAATACCCTGGGATTTCTGAATTTCGGGCTCCATCTCAGTTTTTAGCTGAACCAAGGTTTTTTTATTCCTAACCATTTTCAGTTCAGTATTCAGGTGCATGTATTATATATGTGAAATGCTCCCTTTGTTTCCTGGACCTTTCATTGAGGATTGAATCCACCCCTGCCACCCGCTCCCCTAACCCCCCATAGCACCTGGCATGTTTGCTCCCAGTCCTGAAGACTAGAGTGACAAGGTCCTGATCTGAGAAAAGAGAGTGGATTGAACTGGGGTGGGAGAGGGGCGGAGCTGTCTGCAAAAGGAGGGGTGATGGGGGTGGGGTATCCTGTGGACACCTCCCTCCCCTCCTGGAAAACCTAATTCCAGTGGACACAGCTGGAAGGTCCCCTGACAGGCCTTCCGGGACCCCTTGTGATGAAGCCCGCATCACGTGTAAAGGCGGCGGTGGTGTGTGCGGGGCCCCACTGGAGCCCGTGGCTGTGCGCAGACGTCTGGGAGGCATGCAGCAGTGCACGGGACCAGACCCACCCCGCTCTGGTCCCCGAGGGCTCAGGGTGCGAGACCCCGTCCCCCCTCCTTTTGAACGTGCCTCCCGTTCTCTCCCAGCCACCCGTACTCCAGGCCAGTTGTCACAGCCCTGCCTGTCTACTCTGGGATGCCATCTCTTGGCTTCAGTTATTTCCCAAGAATTTCCAAAGAGGTCCCTGACATGACAGATTTCCTGAAGGCTGTGGACACATGTGCTGTTTACTGGGGGGACGCCGGCAGATCCCACCCCAAAACGGAGGAGGATGGCTTAGGCCTCCACCCGCTGGCTCTGCCCTGAGACTGCCTCAGCTGAGCACCTCACAGGACTTGGGACTTGCTTGAGAAAACAGGCTCATGAAGGCAGAGATGCCCTTCCCACCTCAGGAAGGCAAGCAGGGTCAGCCTCTGAAAATCAGTTAGTGCACATTCTCACCACAGAAGGAACAAAACCACATGATCATCTCAATAGGCACAGTGTTCAACAAAAGTCAACATCCATTCATGAAGAAAACATTCAAAAACCTAAGAAGAGAGCTTCCCCGACCTGATAAACGGCATCTATGAAAAAACCCATAGTCAATATTTTACCAGATGGTGGAATGTTTTCCCTGTTAAGATCAGGAATAAGAAAAAACTGCTCTTACCATTACTTGACATTGTACTGGAGGGTCTAGTCAGGGCAGTTAGGCAAGAAAATGAAAAGTTATCTGGGTTAGAAGGCAGAAGTAAAACTGCAGATGACATGATAGTGTATATAGGAAATCCTAAGGAAGCCACTAAAAATGCTGTTATAACTAATAAATGAATTCAACAAGGTTGTGGTATATAAATTTGATTGTATTTCTATATGCTTGTAATCAGAATGAAATGAAATCAATGAAACAGTCTCATTTACAATAGCATAAAAATAAAATACTTATAAACAAATTTAACAAAAGAATTACAAAGTTTTTATTTTGAAAACTATAAAACATTGTTGAAAGAAAGTAAAGAAAACCTAAATAAGTGACGAGACAGCGCATGTTCTTGGATTGGAAGCCTTAATATTGCTAAAATGATGGACTACATAATCCCTATAAAAATTCACAGAAATTTGACAAGCTGGCCCTAAAACTTATGGAAATTCAAGGGATGTAGAATAGCCTAAACAATCTTGAAAAAAAAATCAAAGTTGGAGGACTTACATTTACCAATTTTAAAACTTAACTGCAATACTCCGGTAATGAAGATGGTGTGGTAGGTAATAGCATAAAGAGACATAAATTGATGGAATATGATTGACAGTCTAGAAATAAATGTTTACATTTTAATTCACACAATTAACTATAAAACTCTTAAAAATAGGCATAAATCTCCATAACCTTGGATTAGGGAAGAGTTTCTTAGATATAACACCAAAAGCACAAATAACAAAGGAAAAACATTGATGTCAGAAGTCATCAAAATGAGCAACTTTGAAGGATACCATCAAGAAAACCCATAGAATAAAAAATGTTTGCAAATCATTTATCTGATAGGGGATTTGTATCTAGAATATATAAGGAATCCCTACAACTCAAAAGACAAATACCCCAGTTAAAAAATGGGCAAAAGACTTGAGTAGACATTTCTCCAAAGAAAACTACCCAGATGGCCACTAAGCTCATGGAAAAATGTCAACATCAGTAGCCATCAGGGAGATGAAAACCCAAACCACAGCAGGATGCTACTTCATGCTTGCTACAATGACCATAATCAAAAAGACAAGTGTTGGCAATGTGGAGAAACTGAAACCCTTGTACATTGCTGGTGGGATTGTAAAATGGTGCAGTCACTTTGGAAAGTAGTCTTTGGCAGTACCTGAAAGAATGAAACATAGAGTTACTATATGACCAGAGTTAACCATATGATACCACTCCTAGCATGTACCCAAGAGAAATGAAGACGTGTGACCATACAAAAACTTGTACATGAATGTTTACAGCAGCAGCATTTACAATAGCCAAATTGTAGAACACACCCAGTGTCTACCAATTGATGAATAGATGAAGTTATATTTCACATAAAGGAATATTACTTGGTAATCAGAAGGAATACAGTACTATTTCATGCTACATGGATGAACCTTGAACATATGCTAAGTGAAAGGAGCCAGATACAAAAGCCCACATATTCCATGATTCTCTTTATACAAAATGTCAGAATAGACAAATCCATAGAGACAGTAGATGAGTGGTTGTTTAGGGGAGGGGCTGGCGGGTGGAAGAAAGGAGAAAGGGACTGTTGACAGGTATGGAGTTTTTGTTTGGGGTGATAAAAATGTTCTAAAATTGTGATAGTTGCATAACCCTGTGAATATACTAAAAACCATTGAGTGATAACTATAAATCAGTGAATTTTATGTTCTATGAGTTATTCCTTTATATATATCACATATGTGTGTATGTATATAGATATATAAATATATGTGTGTATACATACACATACATGCAGTGTGCAGCTCTGGACAGATTTCCTATTTAACTGTTTCACAGCCCGCTTTGCCTGGAGACGGTTGCCTGCCCCTTCCCACCAGCCCCAGTTGGGTCCCGAGCTGCCCTCGTCACCTACCGTTGTGAGCTCTACGCACGCACACTTGTCTCCTGATTCCTCGGGGCAGTGTCAGGGGGAGACAGGTGTCTGGGAATCCAGAGCCTTTTCTCAGGACTCCTCCACGTCCCAGGGGTTGGCCCAGCCATCCCTGAGGTATGTTGCTGACCTTGCGTCCAGGACGGGCCTGGGCAGCAGCACCCCCGAGAAGAGGTTGTGTGCTGCTCCCATCTTGGGTCACGAGCCCAACTGGGCTCCACCACTCCTGGGAGAGTCGGCCCAATGCCCCTGGCCTCCCCTTGGCCCTGTCTACCTCCCGCCAGCTACCTGAAGGTTTTTTTTGTTGGAGGGGGTGTGCAGTTGGAAAGGTGCTTCAAAGAACTCAATGGAGTGTTTGGGGGAGATGGGGTGTGAAGAAGAGGGAACGGTTATTGTGGGTCAGCAGCAGAAGAGGTGAGTCTCCCAGGGCCCCTAGTGAGTCCTCCCCTGCCCCCCACCCTTCACAAGCACGGAGACCGGCGCTCATACACAGGCTTTTATTCAGGAGTCAGGGGCCACCTCCCTTCCCGGGTCCCTGCTCCCCACCCTCCTGTAGAACCCCTCTCAGATGGGGCTTGTCCTTCATCTGCCTCTCAGAAGCCCCTGCCAGCTAAACTGGCAAGTTCAGGGAGGGGGACACTCAGGGAGAACCCTTATCTTGCCTCGGCAGACAACCCAAGGCCAAGGCATGCAGAGACCTCCCCAGAATCATCACCCCCACCGCCCCACCCCCAGACTGAGAAGGGAGGAACCGGAGCGGCCCAGGTGATGTGTGCAGTCAGCAGGCAGCAATCAGCTCACGGCAGCCAGGCCCTGTGCCCCCAGAGAGGTGTGGATCAGGCAGATGCCCCACAGCCTTTCCCTTCCAGAGGGACTTCGGCCATGAAGTGTCTCGTTTGGGAAGGGCTGGAGCCAGGGTAGGGGAGATGGCTGGAGGACGGCTGACCTCTTCACCCTGAGAAGGCAGGAAGCACCCCTGGGAACAGGTCCAGGCTCCAGTGGCCCAAGGGAGAGGCCAGGGGACTGGAAGGGGCCGAGGGGGTCCCTGGGAAGCCCTGAGACCTGTTCATGGAAGAGCGGGTCTGTGCCCACAAGACACCTGGAGAGCTGGTCCCTGACGCCACAGGAACGTGCTCAGAGCCACCTGCAGCTGGCTAAGGGGTGCACCTGCCCAGAGGCAGAGGCACTCGGGCAGCGCCATGGGTTGGCCCTGTAGAGGCCTCCTGTGGGCACAAGGCCTCTGGCCTGGGGTCTGGCTGGGGTGAAGGAGGGTTGCTGGGTCCCAGAGAGGACCTCCCAGGAAACTGCGGTCTCTTATTGGAGGAAAACAATCCAGAGGCGAGGGATCCCCACGTGAGGCCTTGCCTTTGAGTGGTGACACCTTCAGAAGGTTCCAGCCAACACCAGGGGAAGCAGTAGCAGCAGTCCCAGGAGGAGGCCCCCGATGTGCCCAGGGCTTGCATTTGACCCTGACCTGAAGCCATGCTTTCCAGAGCCCTCTGCATCTGCAGGAAGGGAGAGGCTTGGCCTCAGCCTGGACGTCTCTCCCTGCCCTCCCGCCCACCCTACCTGGCACACACGTGGGGACCCAGCAGCCAGGGAGGAAGCTCTTACTTGTGGGGTGCACACCCCGCCTTGCCCACACTGCCTATGCTCCAGCAGGGTGCTGACATTCTGCAGCTCGGAGGGGAGGTAGGATGGGCGCTACAGGCCTTACCTGGTAAGGAGGACTGCAAGGCCAGGGTACGCCCACCCATGGCGTTGGCGGTGGCAGAGGCGCTGGGGGAGTTGGACAGGGACTTGGAAGAGGAGTGCCCTTTGTGCTTCGATGTGGTCTGCGGCTCACCTGGCTTGTCCTGGGCTGGAAAGACTGAGGCCAAGATCTCACTGGAATGAAGCAACTCGGCCTCAGCCTCACCCTCCTCCTGGGAGAGGGGTAGCGGCTCCCGTGTCCCCATCAAGGATATCTTGGGGTGCAGAGAACTCTCCAGGATCCTGGAAGGCATTCTTGTACTGCTGGCCTCTTTGTCTGCCGATTTGGGGGTGGGATCATGGGTTGATTTGGGGAGGAGGGTAGCTGGCCTCTTATCCAAGGAGAGCGGGCTGTGAGTGGCCAAAACGGAAGGGACCTTAGTTGCTAAGGAAAGTGAAGTCTCTGTTGCCGTGGAAGGGGAGTTTTCCGTTACTAAGGAAGATGGGGCCTTGGTTTCTACAGAAGATAGAACATTTGTTGCCAGGGAGCTTGAGACCTCTGTTACCAAGAGGGGTGGAGGTTCTGTTGCTAAGGAAGAATCGATCCCCTCTTTCTTAGAGCTTGAGGCTTCTGTTGCTAAGGAAGATGGTGCCTCAATTACCAGGGAAGACAAATCCTGAGCCTCTTCCTGGCCTCTGATGGGTTCTGAGAAGAGAGGCAAGGCCTGGCATTAGTGCTGCAAACAGGATCCTGCATTTCTCACCCCACCATAATCAAGGTGAGGAGACCAAATATACTGTGAACACACACACACACACACACACACACACACACACACAACATGCACGCACCCTCTCCAGTGAATATGTCCCTCATCGTTTCTTGTGATTGACATTTGCCCCTCCATCCACTGCCTTGTCCAAGTCTTCCTCTCTCCACACTCACACTTCCACTTTTATAGGGGACTTCAGCTGGATTACTGTTCCTAGCACACCCATTGCGTCTCAGGCCCTGGTCCCTCTGATCACCCATCTATCCACACACCTCCACCCCCACCCCTGCACTTGCTTGGGGAGCCCCCAACTCCTCCACCCTCTGCTTGGAGGGTAGGAAGTTGGTCACTTGGAATGCCAGGGTGCCAAAGTGGGTATGCAAGGAGGGCAAAGCGGGCCAAGTGGGCTTGGGAACCTGGATGCATTGGGGCTGCTGAGGGTTCCTCCCGTGGCCCACACAGCTGCTCTGGGGCCTCAGGAAGCTCTAGACCATCCAGTGGGTATCCCCCTGCCTCACCTTCCTCCCCCAGTGCCACGCCCCCCCATACCAACCAGACTCACCACAAAGGGAGTTTTTGCAGTGGTAGCCCAAGGGACACTGGGAGCACGGAGTCCCCTCTTGGTAGGGCCTCTGGCCCTTCACGTTCCCCCTGCAGGAGGCGAGAAGAACGCTGGGGGCGGGGTCCCGGCCAACCGCGGACCCTATCCCTCACACACAAGCCTTGTCTGGAAGTGCTCCCTGGCTCTTACTCACCCTGAACTAACTTGCTGGACCGATGAGATCAGACTCCACCGGTGCCCTCATAGCT